GTCTTTTGTGGTTCCATATGAATTTTACAACTATTTGTTCTAGTACATTGAAGAGTGCTGTTGGCATTTTGATAGGGATTGCATTGAATTTGTAGATTGCTTTAGGCAGGATGGCCATTTTGACAATATTAGTTCTTCCCATCCATGAGCACAGGATGTGTTTCCATTTATTGGTATCTTCTTAATTTCTCTCATGAGTGTCTTGTAGTTTTCAGAGTATAGGTCTTTCACTTCTTGGTTAGGTTTATTCCTAGGTATTTTATTCTTTTTGATGCAATTGTGAATGAAACTGTTTTCCTGATTTCCCTTTCTACTAGTTCATTGTTAGTGTATAAGAATGCCACAGATTTCTGTGTATTAATTTTGTATCCTGCAACTTTGCTGAATTCAGATATTAGTTCTAGTAGTTTTGGAGTGGATTCTTTAGAGTGTTTTATGTACAGTATCATGTCATCTGCAAACAGGGACAGTTGAACTTCTTCCTTGCCTATCTGGATGCCTTTATTTCTTTGTGTTGTCTGATTGCTGTGACTAGGACGTCCAGAACTATGTTGAATAAAAGTGGAGAGAGTGGGCATCCTTATTCCCATTCTTCAAGGAAAAGCTTTCTGCTTCTCGCTATTAAGTATGATTTTGGCCTTTTCTTATATGGCCTTTATTATGTTGAGGTACTTACTGTCTATTCCTGTTTTGTTCAGAGTTTTTTGTCTGGACATGAATGGATGTTGAATTTTGTTGAATGCTTTTTCACTATCTGGAGATAATCATGGTTTTGTCCTTTTTGTTGGTGTGGTGGATGATGCTGATGGATTTTTGAATGTTATACCATCCTTGCATCCCTGGAGTAAATCCTACTTGATCATAATGGATGATCTTTTTTATGAATTTTTGAATTTGGTTTGCTAATATTTTGTTGAGTATTTTTGCATCTATGTCCATCAAGGAGATTGGTCTGTAATTTTCTTTTTGTGAAGCCACAGTCATTTTTTAATAGCAGCTTATTGACCTGTTTGAAAGTGTATTAAGGAGTCAGAGACTGATTTCTAGGTTTGGAATTTCAGCTTTAGAGTCAGCAAGTGTGGGTTAGTCCTTGCTGTTTCTTAGATGTGTGAGCTTGAGGAGGTCACTGGAAGAGTAGCTGCTGTAGCATGAAGTGTCTTTATCCAGAATATTTAGTCACTGTAGCAGTGACCATAGCTTTGTCTTTGAACTGCCTCTTGATTTAATCAGACTTTGAAATCAAGAAAAATATTTGGTGTGCCAACAGTGCTTACATTTCTCTATTCTAATTATTTGAAACCAAAACCAAAAATGATCTTCTCTTTCCCTGAGAATATGATGGCTTCTGTCAAGTTGGAGAAAGGCTAGCGGTCTGCAAGTCATCCTTGTTCTCTAGGAAAGCCAGACACCAAACACCAGGGCTATCTCTGCTCCACTGTTTCAGCTGCCTGTAGTATGGTGTTCTGCACGCTGGTCCCTTAGAGCGAGCATGCATGGGCTAAGGAGAGCCTCCAGCATGAGTCCCCACTCCCTCCATGGAAAGCATGGAGGAGGTGACACTCGTGGTCATAGGGCCAGGTGTGCTTGGTCTGTAAGTGAGAATTAATTACAGAATGTTCTGAAAAACAGTTCTTTTAAATTAGTTCCAGGTATGTTCTAAACTCAGACACTTTTGTTTTCTGATGAGCAATGTTTAACCTTTACACTGTCTTGATATAGGAGCAAATCTGCAGAAGGTGCCAGGAACTATTTGGAATTTGAAGAACTAACTGTGAGCCAGCTCCTCCTTTGCCTAAGGGAAGGAAACCAGAAGGTGGAGAGACTTGAAATGGCACTCAAGGAAGCCAAAGAAAGGTATGAGATAATAATTTTAAATATGCATACATTCCTTTTATAACGCCTTTATTGAGATATAGTTAAGATACCTTATAATTCATCCACTGAAGTGTACATTTCAGTGTTTTTTAGAATATTCACTGAGTCATGTAGCCATTATCACATTATAAGTGTAGAACATTTTTTTCCCCTCAGGTAAGAAACCCAGAACATGTAGCACTCATTCCCTGTTCCTCCCAGTAATCTGCTTTCTGTCTCTTAAAATTTACCTGTTTGGGACATTTCATATAAATGGAATCATATACCATGTGGTCTTTTGTGATTGGTTAGTTTACTTAGTATAATGTTTTCAAACTTCATCCATGTTGTAGCATGCATCAGTTCCATTCCTTTTGTTACCAAATAATATTTCATTGTATGACTGGACATTTCGTTTATCTATTCATCAGTAGATAAACATTTCAGATGTGTCCACTTTTTGCCTATTATAAATAATGTTTGCTGTGAACATTCATACACAATTTTTTGTGTGTGGATATATTTTTTAAATTCCTGAGGTACATACCTAGGAGTAGAATTACTGGGTCATATAGTGACTCTGTGTTTAATATTTTGATGAAATGCCAGATGTTTTCTATAGTAGCTGTACTATTTTACATTCACACCAGCAATGTAAGAGGGTTGTACTTTCTCCACATCCTCACCGTTTGTTATTGTCTTCTTGATTATAGCCATCCTCATGCATGTGAAGTGGAATCTCATTGTCATTTTGATTTTATTTTTCAAATGACAAATAACTTTGAGCCTCTTTTTATGTTGGCCATTTGTATATTTTGTTTGAAAGAATATCTATTCAAATCCTTTGCCTATTTTAGAAAATTGGATTTTCTTTTTATTATTACATTATAAGAGTTCATTATATATTCTGAATACAAGTCTTTTATGACATATATGATTCGCAAATATTTTCTCCCATTCTGAGGGCACAAAATTTTTTTATTTTTATGTAATCCAGCTTATTTTTTCTTTTGTCACTTGTACTTTTGGTGTTGTATCTAAAACATTGTTGCCTGACCCAAAGTCACAAAGATTCACTCCTATATTTTCTTCTATGAGTTTTATAGTTTTAGCTCTTACATGTAGGTCTATGGTCCACTTTGAGTTCATTTTTCTGTGTGGTGTGAAGTAGGTGTCCAACTTCATTCTTTTTTTCATGGATATCCAGTTGTACCAACACCACTTGTTGAATTTAGTTGTGTTGGCACCCTAGGTGTAAATCAATTCGCCATAAATGTAAATTTCCAAACCCTCAATTTTATTTCTTTAATCTATGTGTATCTTCATGCTGATACTACACTGTCTCAATTACTATAGTCTTGTAATAAAATTTGAAATCGGGAAGCATGAGTCCTCCAACTTTGTTCTTCTTTACATCCAATGATTTTATCTGATGGTCAGCTCTTTTCAAAGGTGAAAAAGGCCTGGTGGCTATAAATCCTAGTTTTTTACCCCATATCCTACTGTTGTTCCTTAGAAAAGTTGAGAGGTTGACTTCCAGGAAACTAGTACCACATATTCTGATGGAGTAAAGTATTTGCCTTGCCTGTTTGACAAGTCCCACACATAGTAGCAATCACAGATAAATAAATAAAAGCATTCCTTTCATACCTTCATTATTATAGCTGATTTAAAAGGGAAGATGTTATGCTTTGAAGGAGACATTTAATAGTCATGAGTAATCAGTGTGCTTTTATTTCACAGACACCTTTACCTCTCCTAAATTCTGCACACCATTTTAAGAAGTTAAATTTTGCTAGTAATTCTACCTTAGACAATATGATTAACTTTAATAATAAACACATAAACTTAAGAATTTGCTAATTATACATCCTGATTTTTCATATATATAATTCTGCCTTCAGACCAATTATAGCTTTCTGTCTGGAGGCATAGCTCTTCAGATTGTAGCTCACAAGTCAGGCCTGCCTTTGAGATGGATGTTGACTCTCCCACCTTGAGCACTCTGTAAAGGTCTTTTCTCAATAGCACTCCCTTTCTCCTGTGTGAGCCTGCCCTCCTGCCCTCTCAGTACTTAACCACTGGCAAGTCAGTGGTAGTTTCCAGGACTAATGCTGTGAATGTGGATATCAGGATGATGATTGCTTCCTACCCAAGGTAAGGCTGAAACTGAGAAATAAAATCACAGATGTCTTGAACAACCTGGCTTGATTGATATACTCTGTAGTATATGATGAAAATACATTACAAGATTTAATGTCTTTTTCCCAGATGAATAAGTCACTCTTCAAACATTTTCATTAATCATGAGAAGTAGGGCTATAAACAGTCTAAAATTTATTCTGAATAGTTTAAGGTGATTTGTGGGGAGAGGAGCCAGTAGGTTTGTCTTTCTTTCACTGTTTGTGAAGACTAATATTTCATGTAATTTGTGTTTCCTAAACAAACTCACACACTGACAGCTGGTAAGGAAAGAATGTGTAGGAAGTGTGGCCCAGGAAGATGGAGAGGCAGCAGGGAAAACTCGACCCAAGATGAAAATTTGCCCAAGAAAATTAAGAGAAGTTGTGATTCAGATGTAGGTCAAAACCCTGCATCACATGTGAGTGGTTCATGAAGGCCCATCCTTCAGTCCTGCGCCAACTGGTTCTTAACTGGTTCCAGTTTACTTGGCTTGGCTGGAAGTACCAGTGAACCAATTAGGTTTAGCTATTTGCAATAGATACCAATGCTATTTGTTTTATTTTTTTATCCCTATGTTCTTTTTAAAAAATCAGTTTCGGTTTCACATAAAGAATTGATTGTTCCATGAGCTTCTTATGGAAGAAAATTGTTCTTTGACCAGCCCTCCCCATGTCCTTTTCTTGCTTCCCAGACAACCATTTTCAACATATTTAGCTGTCCTTTGATACTTACCTCGATATAAAATAGGTTTAAATTCCTACTTAATCCCAACCCCCACCCTATTTTAAAACTAATCTATTGACCTCACACTGTGAAAGATCAAGATCTACCTGTCTTTTGCTTACAACCACATGCATATGCTTCTGGACCCTTCTTATGCTCCTCCCACTCTGAAACTGACTGTATTGAAATTCAGTTAGATCACTACTCTGTGTTTACATTATTTTATGTGCACGTGCACATGCAGACATGCTGTTCTCAGTTGAGCTGTGCTCTATGCCTTGACCACTTTTCCTCTTTTTAAAGTCATTTTAGCGGGGTTGGGAGCAGGAGAAAATTACATGTATATATTCAATCTACCATCTTTAAACAAGTATTTTCTTGCTTCATTTGCACTAGGATGGCTTTCATGTGGTTATGATTCACTGCAAGAATCTTGCTACATTTGTTTTTAAGGACTTACAAACTAGATGGATCCAAAAGGCTTTCTTCCCCTACTGATTTCTTATAAAGGGACACACACTCATATAACACACATGCATGGGTATGTGTATACTCACAGAAGAACAAATTTTAAAAACATTTTTGTGTATTACAATTACATGAGAGGAGGCAGTGTTTTTCCATGTTCAAGATGAGTTATACCTATCTTTTACCCCTAAAATCATTTCTAGCCAATTTTAGGATGAAAGCAAAACAAAAGCTAATACAGTAAATGCAGAGATTTTGGAGACCCCTGACCCTTTATCGAAATTTGAACGTTCTTTTTAGTGCTGCCTCAGTTATTACTTCTCTTTAAGCCAACAAAAAGTAACTTTTCTATATTCTGTAATTTTTCAGAATTTCAGATTTTGAAAAGAAAGCCAATGATCATTCTGAGATTGAAACCCAGACAGAGGAGAGCACAGAAAATGAGAAAGAAGAGGAGAAAGGTCTAGAAACTGTGGGTACTAAGATTCTTACTATGTTGTCACACCCACAGTGGATGTAAGAGTATTATAGCAGCTGGAGTGGTCTTGTGATGTGTTATTAGCTTTAGAAATACAGAAGTAATTTTAATGTTGAATATTTTCTATTTCTCTCGTATTTCCTGTCCTGATTTGAATTTCACTCATTATAATTTGTAGTGAGATGTATTCCCATCCTAGTGATTCTAGGAAATCTCCCTTCTATCTCTTCTTGATAATTTCCTCTCCTAAATTCCTAAGTGAACAGCCCACTTATTGAGAGTAAATGTGTCCACTTGATAATGAGATAATTTGAAGATACTATGCAAAAACCTGAAGTAGAATGGAAAGATCTTGGTTCTGTCCCACTACTGGTTTGATTTGAATTATTTGAATGAGAAAGGTTTGTGTTTATATAGTCAGTTTCCCCTAGCAACTCAAGAGACAGGCCTTGGAGCCTGCGAATAGTCTTATGCTTTGGGAAAGTTAATGCAGCCAGAAAGCTCTAAGAGTCATAGTAGCCCATGTGGAAGGCATTTACATAAAGTATGCACTTTAATTCATTTATTCAACAAATGTGTATTGAATGCCTACCCAATGTCTTGCTCTGGGCTTAGTTGTCTACTTTCAAAAGACCAATGAACATATAAAAACTGACATGAAGAGACCCCCTTGATTAATAGTACCTTATTGACTAGTTAATTCACTAACCAATAATGGAGAAGCACTGGGGCTTCCAAAGCACTATAAACATATTGACAAAAATTCTAGAGCTGCCAGGAAAAGGCGGTGCAGTGAAAATAGCTGCGTAAACTAGAAATGTAAATCAGCCAGGGAATTATTGCCCTGAATTGCTAGCTGGATAAATCAGGTTGTGCATTGACACCACTGTGATCTGTGATCCCTTGAACCATCATCAGGATTAACTTTAATTATGATACTCATTATCCGTGCATCCAAATTGATCAGTTAACGCTCCATCAGGAAACAGTTGTATCTAAAACATTTATCTTCATATAAGATATATGGACATTAATTTCCAAAAGTTCAATCAGTTCACCAGTCAGTCTTAGTTGGACAGTGATTGTTCACACAGTTTTCTTTTGAAGAGGTGCACTTAATCTCTGATGCATATGGTGTATGTCTGTTTGGGATATCCTGTGTGACAGGTTGGAAGTGAAGTGGAAACGTTGAACCTTCAGGTGACAACCCTGTTTAAGGAGCTTCAAGAGGCTCATGCGAAACTCAGTGAAGCTGAGCTAATGAAGAAGAGACTTCAAGAAAAGTAAGAGTGAGAGATGTATTTATCTACCTTTGGAAAGTATACATTTTGACAAAATATGTTACTGTATAAAAACATAGTTTTGTTGCTGTGTTGTTGACTAAAAAGTAGGACCTAATTAAAATATGAATTCAGAAAACATTAATAGGTTAAATGTACAGGGGTTAATACCAAAACCTGAAATACTGTACTGATATGGAGGAATGGTCAGCAGACTCTGATTCTGCTGTTTGGAGGCAATTTGTTAAGCATACCAGCCTATATGAGGACTATAAGATGCAGTGAACTAGGTTTACTGTGGCTTACTGAGCTGGCAACACTGATGTGAATAAATGTGGAAGAAAACTTCAAAGACCAAGAACTTGGGTGAGATTTACTGCAAACAAAACTTTTCAGTTTCAGTCAGTTATGAAGGCTAATATATAAGTAGAGAATTCTGACTTTGCTTGTTTCTCTTAATGTAAGAAGTTACCAAAATTTTCAGAAAGCTAAGTTGATGTGTTCTTTTTGGATTAGTTGGTGAATGTATTTCCAGCACAATATATAGGTGTTTTTTGGAGTAACACTTACCAAGTCTATGCAGTGTTATGGTGTCTGGTACAGCATAACAGATGAGGCTAAAGACTTTGGACAAACAGACCTAGGTTGAAATGTTGATCTACTTATTTGTGTTATTAACTTGGGCAAATTAATTAGTTAACCTCTTTGAGCCTCAGTTTTATCATTTGTAAAATGTGTGTCGTAATTCCTTCTTCATAGTCTCTTATTAAGTGAGATAATATTTGACATGCTTGGCATTAATGCCTTGCATATAGCTGTCATTGGTTTGTATTTGTTATTATTATATTGAAATTCTCTTTCTGATCTTTAAGAGGACGTATGGCACTTCCTTTCCCCCACTGAATCTTTATGAGAAGTCATATTCTTTTTGCTTAACAGAACCCATGATTTTTAAAAGTATTAAATATATCCATAGATCACTATATGAGAAGCACCTTTAGGCAATTACTACTTTGGTCTGTGTCTAAATGACGAAAATACATTTGCATGACTACTTGAAACAGTTATTCCAAGTGGGGCAGCAGCTTGTATGATCTTAGATCTGTCCTTTTTTATGTTAGGCATAAGTGTTCAGAAATACTGTTTGCTTCTAGTGATAAAGCAAGGAAAATAAAATATTTTGTTTTGTACTTTAAATCCTTGAAAATTTCAATCCTAAATGATATTGCTACGTAATCTTGTGATTTGTTTAAAAGCCATGAAGAAATGTAAGAACGCTGTTTATCCTCATGAGTTTTGATCTTTCTTAGATGTCAGGCCCTTGAAAGGAAAAATTCTGCAATACCATCAGAGCTGAATGAAAAGCAAGAGCTTGTTTATAATAACAGAAAGCTAGAGCTGCAAGTGGAAAGCATGCGATCAGAAATCAAAATGGAGCAAGCTAAAACAGAGGATGAAAAGTGAGTATGCCGGGATCGAATGGCTACTTACTGAAAGAATGTAGAGTGGCTCTTTTATAGAGATTGGAATAAGGATTTAAGAGTAAATTTAAACTTTTTCTCTTTTATTTATTTAAAGGAGCACTAGGAAATCTTCTGAGGAAATATAATTTAAGTTTTATTATAGCACAATTATGAAAATTATAATCTATCTCAGTTTTTTGAGAAAAAAGTTGTTTTCTTTGAGAGTAAGAAAATGCTTGCCGGTGGTGTGATGATAAAGTTAGGAGATAAGAATTTGCTACTTGAGTGTTCAGAGGAAGGAAGGGTGGGAGGCGAGACTGTAAGTTTCTATGATATTTTTCTCCATGATAACCTTTTAAAATTTCTTTTTAATAGGTCCAAATTAGCCACTCTGCAGTTGACACACAACAAGCTTCTTCAAGAATACAGTAATTCATTGAAAACAATTGAAGAACTAAAAAGAAAAGAGGTACTCAGAAAAAAGTTACTTTCATAGCCTAGTAATGAATGGAGACTATTGAACATTTTATGTGTAAAGTAGTTGTGCTAATCCTTAACTAAGTGTGGTTTCTAACATTTTATATGTAAAGTAGTTGCATTAATCCTTAACTGAGTCTGGTTTCAAAGGTAGTTTAAGCAAGTATTAACTAAAGGACACAGATTCACCAATATTGAAGAACTGTTTGCATGTATGAACACTTTGTGTACAAAGATGTGCTGTTGTCATATGTTGGGGAGGAAACTTTTAGTATTTCTAACAGGGGTGGCTTTGCAGGAGAGGCGGGAGCTGGGACCCCTGTGGGAGTAGGGCAGGAGGCCCTTTGCTGCTTGGAGCTGTGATGAGGCTGGCTTGCCTGCTGTCAGTGAACTTGAGACCCTATTATTAAGGGGCTGCAACTTAAATTAGTAGCAATGTCCAGCATGGTGTGATGATTTAAGCACCATGGATGTGTTTATTAACCCAATGGGGATTAAGCACCATGAGGTGATGGATGTGTTAATTAACCCGATGGGGAGATCCTTTCTCAATGTATTTGTGGCGAGTCACCTGGTTGTACATTTCCCAGAACTTACTGTTTTGTCAATTTTACATCAGTAAAGCTGGAATAAGTAAGTAAAGACCATGGGGACATTGAGTTAGTTTACATCCCTGTAAATGTACTTTTTGTTTCTCATTTATTTTTTAATACAATATTGTTCTTTTCTAGCACCTAGTGAATTTTTAATTTAAATGTATTCTTGTCCTCTGACTTCACTATATCAGAGTAACAGGAATGGAAAAATCATATCAGCAAGTTAAACCTCACTGAGTTCAGCATTTGTTATGATTTCTCTTATTTTAGTATTTTCCATTTCAGGTATTGTGTTAAATTAGGGAATTATTTACAAGCCATAAGTTAAATGGCTACAACTTTCTAAGTAACTATTGCTAATTAACAGAACAGTTTAGAGGCAATCATTAAAAAAATAAAACCTTCATCCAATATCTTACTAATAGTTAAAATTATTTCAAAACCAATTCTAGAATAAATTTGTCATTTTCAGTCAGAAAAAGTGGATAAGGTGGTGCTGCAGGAACTACATGAAAAACTGGACCTGGCAGAGAAGGCACTGGCTTCCAAGCAGCTTCAGATGGATGAGATGAAGCAGACCATTGCCAAGCAGGAGGAGGACCTGGAAACCATGGCTGTTCTCAGGGCTCAGGTGAGCAACATTCTGAAACCGGAGCTGCGCAAGGCCAACCCTGATCATATGCTCAAATGGGAAAGTGATGGTGGTTAGAACATATATTTTTATTTTATATTATTTCCATCAATATATTTTTTAAACTTTTTTATTGAAGTATATCACAGGTGAAAGGCACCAAACTTTTGAGTGTATAGCTCAGTGAATTTATCCAATAGTTGGATTATTTCCAGTTTGGGGTACTGTGATTAATGGTGCTCTGACCCTCTTGTGAACATATTTTTGTTACCTGTGCGTTCCTTTCTTTTGAGCACACACCTCAGAGTGGAATTGCTGTTTCATGAAGTATGCATGTGACTCAGTTTTAATAGATAACGCCAAACAGTTTTCCAAAGAGATAGTGCCAGTTTTCACTCCCATCCACAGCAAGACAGTTCTCTTTGCTGTACATCCTTACCCACATTTCCATTAGCAGTACTTTTATTTTTAGCCATTCTGGTGGAATATAATGGTGTCTCATTTAATTTGTATTTCCCTGATGACTAATGAGGTTGAGTTCTTTTAAGATGTTTACTAGCCTTCTGGGTATACCCTTTTGTGAAGTGCCTAATCATATCTTCACCCATTTTTCTTGTGATTTGCTGGCTTTTTCTTGATTTTAAAGAAGTTCTTTGTATGCTCCAGATACAAGTCCTTGCACTTACATTTGTTGCAGATTTCTTTACTCTGTGATTTGCCTTTTCACTTCATAAAGGTGTCTTCTGATGAACAAAAGTTCTTAATTTTAATATAGTCCAATAATTCAGTCTTTTCATTTATAATTAGTACTTTTTTGTGTCCTGTTTAAAAAATGCTATCTCAAGGCCATGAAAATATTCTCCTCTATTGTCTTCTAAAATTTTTATTGTTTTGCCTTTTACATTAAGATCTAGAAACCATCAGGAATTAATTTTTCTGTATGGAGTGAGGTAAGGGTAAAGATTCATATTTTTTTCCTATATGAATATCCTGGTGACTTGGCACTATTTACTTAAAAGGTCATCTTTTCTTAAGTACTCTGCTGCACTCTTTGTCACATATTGTGTCCCTTACGCATGGGTCTATTTCTGTTTTCTGTCCCACTGGACAATTTATGTATCCTTAGGTACCATACTGTTTTGACTTATTATAAAGCATCAAAAGTTTTAATATCTTGTAGAATAGTCTTTCCACCTCATTGATATTCTCCAAGAGGACTTGAGGTTTTCCTTCCCATTTTCATTTCATATAAATTTTAGAATCTGCTTGCTATTTTACACATATACATGAAAACCTACTAAGGTTTTGATTGGAATTACATTAAATATATCTAATTATATCATTAAGTATATCAATTTAGAGCTAATTAACATTTTTACAACATTGACTTTTCCAATCCATGAACATAGTGTATCTTCTTTAATTCTTCTTGGTAATATTTTTAATCTTCTTAGTAAAGATTTTGCTCATCTTCTATAAGATTATTCCTATTTTCTATTTTTATGCTATTATAAATAGTATCATTTTTAAAATGTAATGTTCTAATGGTTGCTGTTTCATAGAAATACAATTGATTTTTAAATACTGACTTTGTATTCAGTAAACTTATTCAACTCACATTTCAATTATAATATTACTGATTGATCTTTTGGACTGTACATTAATAATCCTATTAAGAACTGTTAAACTTGGAAGTATAAAACAAGCATAGCAAATCTACATTCCTAGGATTTTTGATAAGGTGAAATAAGATAATCAGTATAGACACCCAACATAAGATCTCACACATATTTGGAATTCAATTAATAGCATCTACTTATTTATATTTTTTAATGTAGTTTAATGTCAGCCTTCATAATTTCTTTACTGTTATAAAATTAAAAAGTAAAAATTAACTACTCTATAGTGAATTGAGCATTATTCTTATGCCAGTTTTCAAAATTAGATTTTTCTTTTCATAAATGCACCTGACAGAGTAAATGTACCTGTTTACTATATTAAGCTAACCCTGAATATTATTTTAAAAAGGAAACCAGAGAATCTTACTGAATTATAGGTACATACGGTATTTACACCACCCGTATCAGTGTAATTACTGGGTTCTAATTGTTTAAAGCACATACACATATACAACTTGTGTCTTACTCTTTGAAAGTAGTTGGAAAGTCATAGTCATTACACTGGCTCTAGCAGGAATCTGTACCTGTTACTTACAAAGTATATCACAGGATGCAGCACCACCTTTCTGCCTCATCGGCAGGTGAGCTGTAGAGAAGCCACATTCATCTAGGAGTAAGTTCTGTCTGCTTTTGTCCCTAACAGATGGAGGTTTACTGTTCAGACTTTCATGCTGAAAGAGCAGCAAGAGAGAAAATTCATGAAGAAAAGGAGCAGCTGGCCTTGCAGCTGGCAATTTTGCTGAAAGAGAATGATGCTTTTGAAGATGGAGGCAGGTAAGATGAGGGGAGGCTTGGAGCATGTCAGCAGGGCTCTAGGGCATGTGATCTTTCAAAGGTGTTTCCTCATCTGAACTTGAGGCCAGCCTTCACCATTTGTCAGCACAAGAACCACACTGAACATACTTCACTTGATAGTGTCTGAAACACTTAGTTTGACTCAACATGCCTTGGCAGCATCTCACGGGAGTCTGATCAAGTGCTGTGCTTTTGGATATGCTTTAAAAACATGACATTACATGCTCCAAAGTCCTTTCCTGCCATTGTGTTGGATGAAATGTTCCTAACACTTTAAATAATTTAAATATGCTTTAAAAGAAAAGACTGCTGGAAATGCTTTTGTCTTTTAAATTTCATTTTGAGAAAAAATTGAAATATAGAGAAATAGAAGTAAAAAATACAGAGAATAAGATAACACAAACCAATTTTTCCCCACTAATTGACACTTACTAATATTTATTTTATTTGCTTCAAGTATTTTTTTATTAAAAGAGAAAAATGAGTTGTAGATGATGTTGGAGTCACCTTCAATCCCCATCCTTCATTATATTCCTCTTTGCCCTTCCCCAAACTGCCTGGAATTTGGTAGGAAGCATCCCTACCTGTTTATATATTTACATATATACTCACCTATACAGTATCTTAAAACAATATAATATTAATTTCTCTGTGCTTAAGCTACAAAATGATCATTGTATTTTTTGTTCTACAACCTGATTTCATAACATTGTGAATTTGAACTCTTGTGTTTTAATGCATCCTGTATAATTGCTCTGTAGTGTCTTGTTATAAAAATATGCCATTTTTCCCAAAACCCTTCCCCTATCAATTTAAAGTTTGGTTATTTCCTAACTGATTTTTTAAAAATCTTAATTGTTGTTTACTTTTACTACATTGTGTCTTACTGCCAGTAATATTTAAAGCTCAAATTAGTCTTAAGTTCTGGCTTTTTGAACCTTAGCATTGTATGTCAGCTCTTTTTACTTTTCTCATACTTCTGCCAAATGTCTGCTTGGTGTTGTCATATCTCAGGGTTTTAGAACATCACATAGTGTTGCCTTTAATCCCAGTAGGCAGTCCTTGATGGAAATGCAGAGCCGCCATGGGGCGAGAACAAGTGACCCTGACCAGCAGGCTTACCTTGTTGAAAGAGGTGAGTCACATGTGATTCTAGGTTTTCAGGGTCCCAGAGAATAACTATCTTATGAAGAAAACACTTCAGGGAAAATAATAATGGATTCCAAATCAAGCTACCAGGAAACCAGCACCTGTGAGTCTTATTTCCACAGTACCCCAATCTCCATCTGTCATCTGCTGGATCCACACCAGGCTCCTGTGTGGTAATTAAGGCCTGGCAAAGCCAACGTTCTAAGCCTTCTCTCACTCAACTCCCACAGTCACGCCCTGTTCCTTGAACTTGGCCTAAGTATAATACCCGCATACACATGTTCATGTGGGGTCCTCCATGCAGATGCACCCCCTTCACTCATATCCTGTCTTCATGTACTCTCTTCCCAGTGAACTCCTACCCCATCTTTAAACCCCATTTCAAATACCATCTCCATGCATCCAACATAACGTGACCTCTCCCTCTTAAATTTCCAAAGTATTTTATTCCTGTCTTATAACTTTTCTCTATTTTATATTATAGTTATTTATAAGTTTTAAATATGCATTTACACATTTTATTAAATTAGCTTCTTGGATCTTTTCTCTTTACCTACTACCTGGTGTTATCCACATAATATTATTGTTTATTGAGAGTTTGCTATTTGTGGGCACCATGCTAATCATTATTTCATGTGATCCTCCCAAAATTCCATAAGGTATATATTATCACCATCTTCCAGAAGACAAGGTTAAATAATCCAGGGTCACAGGCCAATTAGGGACAGAAGTGAGCAAGAAACCCAAGGTCATCTGAGTAGATTGTCATTTAATTATGTACTATATCCAGGTTTTAGTTCCCTGAGTGAATCTTGTCATGACACTTTTTAGAAGTATGGTGCTATGCTTATTACATGGTTTTAATGTACTAGTAGTAATGTCTATAATTTGTAAGTCACTGGCTTACAATAGTATATCACTGAAAGGGAAAGATATCCTTGAGTCTAAAAAACCAAAAAGGTTTGCATTGTTCCAGAAAGGTCAGATCAAGGAGATGCCCAGGAGCCAGACATCATTTCCAGTGCTGATCACTGTCGGCACATGGGGGACCTACCGAGAGTCATGGCTTACTTCAAGTATTCTTTAATTTAGACTGGAACCTCATTCCAACTCCAAAACTGGAGGGAAGACAGGACTCATTCTTCAGTTCTTTCTGCTCACTTCCTTTGCCTGGAGAGCTCTCATTCATTCCTCAGACTCCTCTCAGGTGGGCTTAGTCTCATCCAGGGGCTTTCTGCATGGGACACAGCCGTGGCACTCCCTCGTACTCTGCTGCTGTCACTTTTCTTGCCTGATGTCCCCACCGTGTCTGTGTCCCTCTCTTCTACCTCCCAGGTGCTGAAATGTCTCCTGAATGATTGTCTCTGCTACTGGGAATGTACATACTATTCAGTGATACTTCTCCATGCTCTACTTGTTAATATTTTCTCCACATTCTCTCCTTCTCTTTAGCTTATATCTTCATCTATCTCTTCTTCTCTCAAATACTGTAGCTCTTTGTCTGGTACCTAGAACTGAAACCACGTATTTTCACATTCCTACAACCTGGAGTGGAGCATAAATCCAACATAATAGGGAAGCTGGTACTATGTTTGTATATTTTCTCTGGGTGTAGTTTACTTCAGTTAAAGGCCACAATGAACCTGTATTCACTTCCCACTAGGCACTGATTACAAAATTTAACTGATATTAATAATTAATTATTTCTTATTAAAATCAAACAAAACTTCTTGCAACATGGAGGGAATGGAATAACATTTCACTTAATGCTCTTTCTCAGGAGCTGAGGATAGAAACTGGCATCAACAGCAACAACGGAATATTCCAATTCATTCTTGCCCCAAATGTGGAGAAGTTCTGCCTGACATAGATACGTTACAGATTCATGTTATGGATTGCATCATTTAAGTGTTGACATTTCACCTCCCCCAAACTGTTGGTAAATGTCATTTTTTTTTCCTCCAAGAGTTGTACTTCTGTGTGATTTGTTTTTACTCAAATATTTTGGCTCATTATGTTTGTTTTAGGAGAAAAAAAATCTATTTGTTCTAAGTAGGACATTTTTGTGGATCTCCATAAGCCTGCAAAATAGAATCCTTTAACATGCCACTCTTCTGATAATAGATTCTTTTTTTTATGTTCAGTTTATGTGAACAATGAACTGTTTATGCATTTAATGAGCATGTTACATCATGGGACAGAGTAAGTGTAATGACATGGAAGAAGCCTCACTGATAAACTCTAAGAACTTCTCAAGGAGGCAGGAAAAATGCAGTGGTCACAGATTTAATCAAGAGGAGTGTCTCTGAATTATTTTTTAAATAAATTATGTTGTTAATTTTTTTCATTTAGTACACATCTCTCTAGCATTGTGTGAATGTGTGTATGTTGTAGTTTTGGTGAAGCCACAGTAATTCTACCAAAGTTAGGATATGGCTCTTTTCCTGTGAGCACTGTGAGCTTTTTACTTGATCATCAGAACAAGTGGAAAAATCCTGGGACACAAAGCAGATAAATTAGGTTCACTGATTTTGTACAACCATTCACAGTATAAAATTGTCTTTGTTCTTTCCTTGTGCTGCAGGTATATGGGCTTGTACAGTATACAGCTTATTAATTTGTAAAAAGAGCAGCTGTCTATTAATTTTCCAAGATCAAGCAATATATTCACAACCACAGCAATAGTTATTGCAAAATTAAGTTTTGCTTACGAATCTTTCACATTGTTCATATATGATTGGCTAATTTCATAGGATGAATTTTCTATGTATTCTGCTTCATATATGCTTAATAGTTATTCAGATCTGTTTTGTTAATTCTGTGAATATGAGCAAATCTCTTTACTAGAGACTGGTAAGTGTTGTTTGAGTTAGAAATTGTTCTTGCTAAGGAGGTGAAAAGAGGGATTTGCCATATTTTGTAAACCTACAGTTTATGGAGATTAACTAATACTGGGCCAGCTATAAAAGTAAACAATATCCTTATGCATCTACATCCTAAAACATTTAGGAGAAAATTAAAAGATCTCTTTTTTGTCAAAAAAATCTCTTCCAGACAAACTTGACTTAATATACAGTGTGTGTGTCTGTGTCTGTGTATGTATTTTTTAAAGGCATCAAAACAGTTAATGATATCTTCATGCTAAGAGAACACACTATACAAATTCAACAGGAATTTAGATTCCCCCATCTCACCCCAGGGTTGGTTAAAGACATTTCTAAAGTAACTATGAAAATTTCACTTTTAACTTCCTGTTTATAGTTTCTGGTTTAATTTTTTTTCTTAGTATTTTATATTTGGAGAAAATATAGATTTCTAGAAAAGCAAACCAAATGATTTCACATTTCAGTTACTGAAACTATCCTTTTACTTTGCTCAGGTAAAAATATTAAGCTTATCCCAATCCTGAAATAACAGTATACATGGGCTTATTAAGCCTGTGATCAAATTGTTTGCTTGATAATTGGAAGGCCTACAAATGCAGACAGTTCATATGGCCAGAAATTAAGGCTATTGTCTTGAGTGGATCAAACAGTTTGGTAAACAACTTGTAAATTCTGTACATGTCTTCCTAATTCATTTAGTCTGCTATCTCTTCAAAGACCTTGTTCTGTATTACCAGTTCACTACACCTCATCAGGATTTGGGGCCCTCTCCTGGAGTCAACCATACTGTATTCTTGAAGTATAATGAAATGAAAATTTCACAGCTAAATAACTGTATAGGTCTTCAAATATTATCTTTAAAAATAATTTTGATCTGGTGTTGGAAGTCATCACACCCATACTCATAACAAGAAAAATGCTGAACAAACTTAAAATTATCAACTCTTTTTAAATACCTCAGAAAATTGAGGTCATAGGGCAAACTGCTGCCCAAAAATTGGAGAGAGATACGGAGTCACAGATTAACAGGTCAGGGTCTCAGGAGCAGAAACCATGGTAGGAACCAATACCTGAGTAGGGAAATTTAAATTGTAATTGAAGAATTGCTAAAGGCTCAAGATGGATGAGCTTCAGAGTTAAAGACTCCGGTAGGAGTCCAGTCTTAGGGGTCCCCCACAGTTTTGTGAGTTTTACCTCCAGGAGCGCTACCAGATTCTCAGTGAAGATCAGAAAAAAAATTCCCCCATACTTCCAGCAGGGGGAGGGGGAAGCACCCATTCTGAACTACACCTGAGCAATCTGTTCTTGAGAAGGCTTGCCCTCAGGGGAAACTTTTACCAGAGCTTTACCTGCTGGAATATTATCAGAGCCCAACTGACTTGGGGGAAAGGGCCCAACTGCAGCCCCCTCTACCCTTACTCTTCACATCGAAAGAGGAGAAAAAAATCTGAGAATTACTTGGAAAAGTCGCAGCCCAGAGGGATAAACTCACTGAAAGACTGAGAGCTTATCCTAGACTCTAGGACATTCCTCACCAACCACCTTGCCGCCACATCAGCAGGGCTCCTGATTACAGCTGAAAGAACTTCACATCTCAAATTTTATTTAAGAAACCTCTAGGGAAACCCAAAGACAACAAGGGAGACAGAAACAACAACATCGGGAAATTTTAGCAATGACACAACTACTGCAAACAGTAAATAAGTCCAATCCTTGCCAGGTAGACACAAAACCTCATACTAAAGCCCTGTTTACCTTTACCTCAGTTTTTTTTACTAATACCTTGTGTCCAGTTTTCAACAAAAAATTGCAGGGCATACTAAAAGACAACACAGTTTGAAAAGACAGAGTATGCATCAGAATCAGACTCATGGTGCATCTAAGACTGGGAATTTAGAACAGCTATGATTAACATCCTAAAGGCTCTGTTGGAAAAAGTGACAATATATATGGAACAGAGGGGTAATATAAGCAGAGAGATGGCTAATAAGAAAATGAAAGGAAATACTAGAAATCAAAAACACTGTAACAGAAATAAAGAATGTCACTGAAGGGTCATTACTAGAATGAATACGGCCAAGGAAAGAATCAGCGAGCCTGAAGAACTGTCAATAGAAAATTCCAAAACTGAAATACAAAGAGAAAAAAGAATGAAAAAGAACAGACTGTCCAAGAACTGTGGAGTGATTACAGAAAGTGTAGCATGTTAGGAAAGAGTATAAAACCTAAATGTGATTTATTCCCTCTAGGATGTTTAAACATTTTAACAGTAAGATATTAACAAAGGGCCATGTGGTGGAAGCAGCTCGTGCTGAGAGTGGGGGTGGGGGAATTGATAAGGGCCTGTCAATGCCTGTTTGAGTTTTTTAAACCTACCAATAAGATTAAGTAAAGGAAAGTTATAACTGGCTTAGGTGACGTTGGGGGAAGAATGTGAACCGTGTAGTATTCAGCCAATGAGGAACCAGGGGAGGAACTCGCACACTAGGAAATAAATTACTGGCACCAAACTCCCCAGGTGTGCCTGCCCACCAGACACCCAATCTTACAAAATCATCATTAAAGCCTCGCTCTGCTGTTCTCTTTGTCTCCGTGTTCACTTACTGAATTTGGACCAGTGAGTGTGTTTCCCACATAGCACAAGTGCAATAAGAATACCAAAAGAAAAAGAGAGAAAGGGCAGGGAATGCTTGAAGTAATAATGACTGAGAATTTTCAAAATTTAGTGACAGATACCAAACCACAGATCAGGAAGCTCAGAGAAGACAAAGCAGGATAAATATAAAAAAATCTTCCCCTATATGTACATATTCAAACTGCAGAAAACCAAAGAGAGAAAATCTTGAACAAATCCAGAAGGAAGAAAACCTTAACAGCAGGGGAACAAGAATAAGAAATATATCAGACCTGTCTCCAGAAACTGCGATCAAGAAGCAAGGAGTGACATACGTGAAGTGTTGAGACAGAAGAACTACCAACTTATAAATTTATGTCTGTGGAAATTATCCCTTAAAAGTAAAAGAGTAAAGTCTTAAACAAATAATTGATGGAATTTGTTTCCTGTAGACATGCCTTGCAAAAAATGTTAGAAGTTCTTTAGAGAAAGAGAAAATTATATAGGTTAGAAACAGATCTGCATAAAGGAATGAAGAGCATTAGAGAAAGAATAAAGTCTTTTATTTTTCTTAGTCTTAACTGATCCAAGAAATAACAGTTTGTTCAAAGTAACATGTATTTGATGACTATAGTGAAGATCAATGAAATAAATGACAGCAATGATATAAGGGTGGGAAGGAAGAATCGAGGTGACTTTGTTATAAGGTATTTGCACTACCCATCAAGTAGTATCGTTGCTGGGCAGCAGTGTCTGGGAGGTCTCTCCCTGCACACTAGGTGAAGCACGAGGAGAAACAACCTGGATGAGGGAGGGCTCTTGACTCTGGATGAGAAAGAATTCTCAAACAAGTCAGGCGAGTGTAAGGAGGGAAGGAATTCAATAAAGCAAAAGCAGCAGGGAATGGCAGCTGCCTTGTAGGCAGCAGAGAACAGGTAAGTGCAAAGGGAAAGTTCTTGGCCTAGTGCAGATTCCCTTGCCAACTCCTGAAGCCAGGGTCACCTGGCATCCTGTGTCTGCTTGGATCTGGACAGCATGGGGATTAGGCCCTTCCACTCCAGGATTTGAGGGAGCCGCGGAGCACAGGATGGAGTGAGATTATGTTCTGAGAACTTCCCAAAGAAAGGAGATTTTCAGGCAGGCTATGAAGAGCAGCTGGCACAGCTGCAGTCCATCTAGGTCACCCAGGTGACAGAAACATGCAGGCCCAAATCTGAGCTTTTAGCAGCCCCTTCCTACTCATTAGGAGTAAGGCAGAGACAGAGTAAAGACTTGGAAATAAAGTGAAATAGCAAAGAGACAAAACACAGTAATTTGAGCAGTGAGAAAACTTTATTTGAAAGTATGCACTTAAAGAAAGTGCAGACTTCCTCAGAGAGGAAGCACACTGAAAGTTGGGGATTCTGTCTTTTAAGGCTTTCAAGAATGGGGCAGAGGGGGTGTTATTGGGCATAGGCTTGACTTGTGGTCTCAAGGTGCTTACCTTTGCTGAGAGACACCATGGCTCCTCTCCTTTATTATCAGTCCTCCAGCTAATTTTGCTAAATAAACCTAACACAAGGGATTTATTTATCCTGTTCTTCTCCAAGATAGTGATTACTCTCAAGCAGTGGGACATATCAGTTAAGACTGCTTGCCTTGCCTTAAGGCAGGCTGTTGGGTTATTGTCTGATTATTACCAGAGAATATGTTAGGATTTTTACTTCTCAATTCTACACTTTTTAAAATGGAATCTTAGCCTTAAGATGGAGTCCCTCCTATTCTTACTATACTGTTTATATCTCAGCATTTTTCATCATAGCCGGGAAAAGTTGTAATCAGGCTGCTTGTCCCATGTCCTTAGTCCTTAACACTACCTCAGTATAGTGTTCTTTGGAACTGAACTTGGATTAGTTGTCAGTGTATATTGCAAACTCTAGGGCAACCACTAAAAAGAAGTGTTTAAAAATATATATAATTGACATGTTAAGAGAGAAATGGAATAACATACAATGCTCCATTAAAAGCAGAAAAGCCAGAAATAGAATGAAAGACAATAGAGGAAACAACAAGAAAAATGAGTAGAAAACAGTAACAAATTTGGGAGATACTAATCCAGTTATATCAATACTCACTTTAAATATCATTGACCTAAATATACCAATTAAAAGGCAGAAACTATTAGAGTGGATAAAAAAAATAAGACCCAACTTGTCTCATCTACAAAAACCAACTTTAAATATAAAGACATCTAGAGTGCTAACACTAATCAAAAGAAAGCTGGATTAGCTTTTATTAAAGAAGACTTCAAAGCAAATTAATAATGATAAAGAGGGGCATTACAAAATGATAAAGGGGTCAATTCTCCAAGAAGACAGAACAATCCTTAATGTATATGCACCTAAGAACAGAGTATCAAAATACCTAAAGCAAAAACTGATAGATTGCAAGGAAAAACAGATGAATCCACTAGTACAGTCGGAGACTTCAAAATCCATCTATCAGTAGTTAGCATACCCAGTAGGCCAAAGAACAGTAAGGACATAGTTGAACTGAATGGCACTATCAGCTAGATCTTACTTGTGTTTGTTCT